GAGAGCTCTTTATACAAGAATTCTGTATCACTGTTTAACCCAGAGAAAGAGATGGGCAGATTTCATATCTATGAGGGGAAGTGTAAGCAGTAGATGCTAAGAGTTATATCCTATGTATGCTTAATTCAGGACATACAATAAGAATTTCGTGAGTTCCATCACATGTACTGTGAGATGGGGGTAAAGCATGATGATTATGAAATGGGTCTTTGCCATCAAAGACCATGCCAGCCTGCATAAAGTAGAGGATGGACAAATTAACAACCCACAAACCCCCACCTGCCAGATGCCTAAAGTACATGGCACATATTTGGATTTTTTTTTAAAATGTGGTAGAGGGATGACTTTGCTGAATGACTTGACTTGCCCTATAGAGTCACTTTATGCTAACCAATGGAATTTTGAAGAATGCTCCCAAAGGCAATAGATTTTTGTTTTTTCTTAGCTAATGTTGAGCCATTATTCCTGGCTGCTGTTAGGTTCAGTTATCTCTTCAGCTACTCCCCATGGTTGATAATAAAACCATTATGGGAATAGGGCAGTCATCCAAAGCCTAGGGCTTGCTGAAAGCTCTGGCAGGGAAAATGGTAGCTTGGGATGAGGGAACAGAAAGGCACCTCTAAGCTTTGAGGTTCTAACACTTATTTCTTCCTTCTGAATTGAATCGGGGAGATATATATACACACATGCACACATACACATATATTCATGCATTATATATCTATGTATGTATCCAATTCCTTTTTTTTTTTTGAGATAGAGTCTCAATCTGTTGCCCAGGTTGGCGTACGGTGGCTCGATCTCAGCTCACTGCAACCTCCCACTCCTGGGTTCAAATTTTCCTGCCTCGGTCTCCTGAGTAGCTGTGATTACAGGCTTGTACCACCATGCCCAGCTAATTTTTAAATTTTTTATTTTTAGTAGAGACGGGGTTTCACCACATTGGCCAGGATGGTCTCGATCTCCTGACCTCTTCTTCCACCCAACTTGGCCTCCCAAAGTACTGGGATTATAGGTGTGAACCTTTCTTTTTTTTTTTCTTTTTTTACTATTAACTTTATCTTTTTTGAATGCTACTCCGTCTTCTCAGAATTGTGTTCTGTCACCAAAAGCAGTTTCAACAAAAGCAAAAACTGACAAATGGGATCTAATGAAAGAGCTTTTGCAGAGCAAAATAAATGATCAATAAACAGACAACCTACAGAATGGGAGAAAATTTTTGCAAACTATGCATTCTACAAAGATCTAATATCCAGCATCTATAAGGAAGTTAAACAAATTTACAAGAAAAAAAAACCCAAAACAGGCCGGGTGCTGTGGCTCACACGTGTAATCTCAGCTCTTGGGGAGGCAGAGGCGGGAGGATAGCTTGAGCCCAGGAGTTCGAGACCTGCCTGGGCAATACAGTGAGACCCCGTTCTCCACAAAAAGGAAAAAAAAAACATTAAAAAGTCATCAAAGGACATGAACAGACACTTTTCAAAAGAAAACATACATGCAACCAATAAGCATATGAAATAAAAGCTCAACATCACTGGTCATTAAAGAAATGCAAACCAAAACCACAATGAGATACCACCTCACGCCAGTCAGAATGGTGATTATTAAAAAGTCAAAAAATAACAAACGCTGGCAAGGTTGCAAAGAAAAAGAAACACTTCTGTGCTCGCTTCAGCAGCACATATACTAAAAATTGGAATGATACAGAGAAGATTAGCATGGCCCCTGCGCAAGGATGACACGCAAATTCGTGAAGCGTTCCATATTTAAATTTAAAAAAAAAAGAAAGAAAGAAACACTTCTACCCTGTTGGTGGAAGTGTAAATTAGTTCAACCATGACGGAAAGCAGTGTGGTGAATCCTCAGAGCTAAAAAGAGAACTACCATTTAACTCAGTAATCCTGTTCCTGGATATATATACCCAAGGAATATAAATCATTCTACCATAAAGACACATGCACTTGTATGTTCGTTGCAGCATTATTCACAATAGCAAAGACATGGAATCAACCTAAATGCTCATCAATGGTAGACTGGATAAAGAAAGTGTGGTATATATCCATCATGGAATACTATGCAGCCATAAAAAAGAATGAGATAAGGCCGGGCGTGGTGGCTCAAGCCTGTAATCCCAGCACTTTGGGAGGCGAAGGCAGGTGGATCACGAGGTCAAGAGATCGAGACCATCCTGGTCAACATGGTGAAACCCCGTCTCTACTAAAACTACAAAACATTAGCTGGGCATGGTGGTGCGTGCCTGTAATCCCAGATACTCAGGAGGCTGAGGCAGGAGAATTGCCTGAACCCGGGAGGCGGAGGTTGCGGTGAGCCGAGATCGCGCCATTGCACTCCAGCCTGGGTAACAAGAGTGAAACTCCATCTCAAAAAAAAAAAAAATGAGATAATGCCGTTTGCAGGAACACTAATGGAGCTGAAGGCCATTATCCTTAGAAAACTAACAAAGGAGGCCGGACATGGTGGCTCACACCTGTAATCCCAGCACTTTGGGAGGCCAAGACCGGTGGATCATGAGATCAGTATTCGAGACCAGCCTGACCAACATGGTGAAACCCCATATCTAAAAAAAAAAAGTAAAAATGCTAACATAGGAACAGAAAACCAAATACTGCATGTTCTCAGTTATAAGTGGGAGCTAAATGATGAGAACACATCAACACATACAGGGGAACAACACACACCAGGGCCTATCGGAGGGTGGAGGGCGAGAGGAGGGAGAGGATCAGGAAAAATAACTAATGGGTACTAGGCTTAATATCTGGGTGACAAAATAATCTGTGCAATAAACCCCTATGACACAAGTTTATCTATATAAAACCGCAAGTGTAGCCTTGAATTTAAGCTTAAAAAATTATTATTATTATTATTATTTTGAGACAGAGTCTTTCTGTTGCCCAGGCTGGAGTGTAGTGGCATGATCTCAGCTCACTGCAACCTCCGCCTCCTAGGTTCAAGTGATTCTCCTGCCTCAGCCTCCTGAGTAGTTGGGACTACAGGCACGTGCCACCACACCTGGCTAATTTTTGTATTTTTAGTAGAGACAGGGTTTAGCCATATTGGCCAGGCTGATCTCGAACTCCTAACCTCAGGTGATTCACCCTGGCCTGGTGAGGTTGAACTCCTAACCTCAAAGCGCCTGGCCGAATTATGTTGTTTTTAAACTTAGCATTATATAATGTTTTTAATGATGTTATTTCATCCTTATGAATATATTTTTTTAAAAAGATTCTTTCCTGACTGTAAAAGTGAAGCATATTTATTATTTTTAAAATACAGATAATACATGAAGAAAGTGAAAAATTACCTTTGATATTTTGAAGTGTATCCTTCAAGATTTTTTCTATGCATACATAAATATATATGTACAAAAATGTAATCATACCATACATGGTTTTAGTCCCTGTTTTCCATGTCAATAAACGGATATTTAGCAGCATATTTAATGTTTTTATGAATATATAGCATTTTTATATATTCTATTAGTGACGTTGCAATTGTTTCCAAAAGTCACTATTCTGTCTTCATCATCTTCTCTCCTTAGGACTAACTCCTACAAGTAGAATTGGTGAGTCACAGAGAATGCACATTTAAATACTTTAAAATACACTGTTTACCAATCTCACTCCCAGTAGAAATGTATGTAAGGTTCCTTTCCCCTTGCTCTAGCCAATATAATTATCCTTCTTAATACTCACAAAATAATCCAGAATTAATGCTCTGCAAACAGACCTTCCAGTTTGGAGGCAGAGAAGTGGAAGGTTTATTCCTCCTCTCAAAAAAAAAAAAAAAAAAAAAAAGGTTGCTGAACATGCTAGAGTAGAGAACAAGTTAAAAAGTTTCGGGACTCAAAGGGCTCCTCCAAAGCCCCGGGCCTCCCGGCTACCCGCCCTGAAGCCGCTACGCCCCGGTCCTGGGCCCGGGGTGGCCGCTGGGTGGCAAGGGGAAGCCCGGGCCGACGGCGGTTCCAGCGCACTGCCGCCCAGGCAGGCGAAGAAGAGGGCCACACTGGGTGGGGACAACAGGGCCCCGGTCCCAGAGGGCACGAAGGAAGGTCAGGGAGAGGGAATTCAGAGTTAGAAGGGGTGGATCGAGTGAGAAACTGCGGCGGCAACGGTCTCTCGCCGCCAGGACCCCGCCGTGCGCCGCCAGGGACGCGAGCGGGCGCTGCTGCCGCGTCAGGGGCAAAGGTCCCGGGGTCCCCCGAGCGCCTCCCGGCGGACTCAGGCGGCATCCGGACTCCTCCCACCGCGTTTCCCCCGTCCGCCTCGGGTCCCTGGAGGGTTGGCCGGTGGGAAGAGCCTGGGTGACGGGACTTTCGCCGACACCCCGCGCCCAGCCTGGTGGCTGCGCACCGAGGGCGTCGACGGGACCGTCCGCGTCTCAGCCCGTCCTCTGTGAGGCGGGGCCGCGGCGGTACCTGCCCCAGGGAAGGCCGCGCGGAGGGTTAATGAGTCCCTAGGCGCTGGCAGGGATCTCTGTACACCCTCAAAACACACCCCATCCGGTACCTAGCACCCAGTACCGAGGGCCTATTAACAACTTCCCGGAGGCCGCAGGGGCAGTGCGGTCTCGCTGTGTCCTCCTCCCTCTCAGCGCTCCCGAGGCCTCTGTCCCGAATCAGAAAAGCATCTTACAAACCCTGTGCCTCCTCTCGGGGAGCCCCCCCACGGCGTAACCCAGCAGGGAGGAATGGCACACGTGAAGGAAAATGCGTTCAAAAGCCTTACCAGGAGGTGTCAGAATCAGCAGCATCTGACAGCACTCTTGGGAGAAAGGACGCCAGCCCCTCCTGGCCAGCTGTGCGCTCTGCCAAAGCCCTGGCTCGACCCCGCACATCTCTGTTGCCTACTCCAGATCCCAGTTGGAGGAGCCGGCTGTGGCCACCCCTAAGAATGAGGTGATGGGAGCGGTGGGGGGCTGGGCTCTGTGTTGGTAGTTGCCATGGTTTTGCTCCGAGTTCTGAGCCAACCTGCCCACTCCCTGAGACGCCCAGGTCACAGAAGCAGTAGGTCAGAAGCCAGAGGGGACGTGAGGAGTGCCACTCTGGAGCCTACCGGCACACCTGTTGAGATGGAGGCCTCAGATGGGCAAGGGGGTGAAGGGGACAAGCCACTGGAGAAGGTGAAGTGGGGTGTGAGGGAGGGAGGGAAGGAAGGAAGGAGGGTCCCGGAGGGGCTGGTTTTGGAAAGCAGAGAACATGAAATTCAGGAAAGAAGACAACAATGGTAGGGTACCTGAGGCAGCAAGAGGCCTAAAGCACAAGAATGTTCATTCATTTAGACGTTTGTGCCTAAACTGCCTTCCTGGTGAGATGATGGGGAAGAGGTGGCATCTCATTGTTGGTTATGAAGACTTGAGAGTATGTATGCGTATGTACACGTGGCCTGTGTGTGTGGCTGTGTGGTGTGTGTGCTGTGTTTGGGGGAGTTGACCTGTCAAGAGTCCTGTGTCTCTAGGACCTGGAGAAGCCTGTGTCACATCTCCTCTCCCTGCACTCTTTCCCTTTCCCCTGGCCTTTCCCTTCAGACTGGTCTGGACATGGATCTTCCTTGTTCTCCCCGAACACAGACCAGAATTCATACTTTTCTGAGCGGCTTTTGAAAGGTGAGGCGCAAATCCAGTTCTGACTCCTAGTGTTATTTCACCAGTCACTTTGTCCATTGCTTTTCAGCTTGCTTGCTTTCTCTCTCTGTCTGTCTCTCTCTCTCTCTTTCTTTCCAGGGTCTTGCTCTGTCACCCAGGCTGGAGTGCAGTGGCTCAACCTTGGCTCACCACAGCCTCTGCCTCCTGGGTTCCAGCAATTCTCCCGCTCCAGCCTCCCAAGTAGATGGGATTACAGGCACGCACGACCACGCTTAGCTGATTTTTTTGTATTTTTGGTAGAAATTGGGTTTTGCCATGTTGGCCATGCTGGTCTTGAATTTCTGGGCTGAAGTAATCCCCCCAGCTCAGCCTTCCAGAGTGCTGGGATTACAGGAATGAGCCACCGCGCCCGGCCTAATTCCCAGCTTTGTTTGTCGCACTTTTGCAGTCAAAGGTTCTTTCTGGTCATCACCAGCGTCCACTTTTTTTGAATGCTCATTAGAAGCACGGTTTATTAGTCCATTTTGCATTCTTATAGAGGAATACCTGAGAGCAGACAATTTATAAAGAAAAAAGGTTTATTTGGCTCACAGTTCTGCAGGCAATACACAAAGCATGGTACCAGAATCTGCTTCTGGTGAAGGCCTCAGGAAGCTTACAAGTATGGCAGATGAAGGGGGAGCAGGCTTGTCACTTGGTAAGAGAGCAAGCAAGAGAGAGAGGAGGACGTAGCAGGCTTGTTACCACTCAGCTCTCACATTAACTGACAGAGTGAAAATTTGCCTAGTTAGGGCAGGGAGGGAACCAAGCCCATTCATGAAGGATCCACCCCCATAACCCAAACACCTCCCACCAGACCCCACCTCCAACACTGGGGATCGCATTTCAATATGAGATTTGGAGGGGACACACATCAGGCTGGGCCCATTTCTTTGCATCCCTAGCCTTTAGCATTATGTCACGTGATATGCTAAAGGTGGGCAGATCACTTGATGTCAGGAGTTTGAGACCAGCCTGGCCAACAGGGTGAAATCCCGTCTCTACTAAAAATACAAAAATTAGCCAGATGTGGTAGTGCACGCCTGTAATCCCAGCTGTGCAGGAGGCTGAGGCAGGAGAATTACTTGAACCCAGGAGGCGAGGTTGCAGTGAGCTGAGATCCCACTACTATACTCCAGCCTGAGTGATAGAGTGAAACTCTGTCTCATAAAAAAAAATAAAGAATTCCACAGACCCTGTTACAAAATGATATTCCTTTAACTGCTCTGTAGATAACAGCTCAAACATTATAAAGCATTAAGTTTTCTCTTTAAAATACTATGTCTGCTCCTACACACCAGTAAAACTACAGATGCCACATGGTCTAAAGAACCCTTCAAAAACCTAATTCACCAAAGAATACAGTTTCCACATCCTCATAATTTCATCCCCCTGATGTTGAACTATCAATGACCCCAGTTTTTTCAGTCCCTCCCTCTCCATGATCTCCTTAAAAACCCCAGTTCAGAACTCCTTCAGGAGGGGTCTCTTTCCATCTCCTCACTGAGCACCCAACGATCAATAATATCTCTCTCACAGTGATGTGATCTTGGCTCACTACAACCTTCACCTCCTGGGCACAAGCAATCCTCCCACCTCAGCCTCTTGAGTAGCTGGGACCACAGTGCACGCCACCATGGCCGGTAATTTTTATATATTTTTTGTAGAGACAAGGTCTCACTATATTGCCCAGGCTGGTCTGCTGCAACTTTTGTTGTCTTCATATATTGGACTGTGACTGTCCAGCAGGCATATAAACCTGTTGGTCATATAACATCTAACCTGACAGAATTTGTGGGACAATAAAGTGCGCTAATGTTTACCAGGTGCTTTGCAAAGTTACCTAGTAGAATATGCTATGATTATTATAAAAGAAAGAGGTAGAATATTCTAGGTTTTCTAAGCAGAGATTTTCAGAGATGAGTTTCTTTGCCCAAGCCTCACTCACATCAGTGCTGGGTCCAGAAGGTCAGAGGGCGATGGAGAAGGGCTTTGGCTGCCATTTGGGCCAGTCATTGCCCAGAACCGCCCCCAGGAGTAACGGTCCAAGCCCCTGGCTGAGTGTCCCCTGCCTCCTCCCAGGTGACAAATGCACCCTGCCTAGAGACGAGCTCCAGCGCCAGCCCGGCCAGAGACTCACTCCTGCGCCATGCCAAGGGCCTGGATCAGGACACCTTCAAAATTGTGAGTAAAGGGCCTGCCTGGAACCCTGTCCCCTTTACCCCATTGGCCAGGAAGGCTGAGTCAAGAAATGGCGGGCCTCAGACCCACAGTGCATTGCTCCACTTTCTTACTCTTGGGAAGGACGTGGGGTGAGAGGTGCACCGGAGCCACCTCCTGAAACGCGCAGCACCTTGCCACTGAAGGCTGTGGCCACACGGGTCTGCTGGATACCTGGGACGGCCCATCTGCCTCTTCTTTTCTCCCACGGCCCCTCACCTCACCTGTTGCCTCCTCAGTGTAAAGAATACCTAAGACCACTGAAGAAGTTCCTGCGAAAGTTGCACCTGCCCGGGGACCTTCCCCAGAAGAAGAAGCTCAAGTACATGAAGCAGAGCCTTGTGGTCCTAGGGGACCACATCAACACCTTTCTGCAGCATTACTGCCGAGCCTGGGAAATCAAACACTGGAGAAAGTAGGGCAGCCTCTTTGCTCCCCATACTACTCCTGGGAAACCCCCGCTCCATTCAAGGGGACACCTTAGTCGATCCCCCAGTCCTTCATCTTTATGTGGAGGAGTCAGGAGCATGGAGGAGTGGAGAGAGCTCCTAGTCATTCAGGGCAGGCCTGATGGCATCTTGGCTCTGATTGAGTAACTGGCTGCAGGTGCTGAACACCAGGACAGGATATTCAAGTTCCGGCAGATCTCCACCCCTCCATCCCCCCAACCCCAAACCCTGAAGGGGCATGTGGCCCATATTCTCCTGGGTGGGTCCTGCCCCAGAGACAGATGCTGGAGGGAGAAAGCACTGTGCTCCACCTCCCCAGCCTGGGGCCTCTCTCTTGCAGGATGCTCTGGCGGTTCGTCTCCCTCTTCTCAGAGCTGGAAGCAAAGCAGCTTTGCCGACTTTACAAATACACCAAGAACAACCAGCCGGCCAAGTTCCTGGTAAGGCACAGGACAGTTCTGCCTGGACACAGCTGAGGATTGGTTGGTATGTCCTTAGACTTTGGGGAAGGCCTGGGACTGACACATCCAGAGCCTCTCTGCTCCTTCCCAGGGCACACTGCCAGGGCAAGACTCTGCTGCTCAACCTTTACCCCTGCCCTGGGCAGAGTGAGCTGAAGAGGCTGAGGCTCAGCATCAAGCTCTCCGTATGTATTTGATCCAAGGCAGGCGAGCCTTCAAACTGGGGCTTAGCCCGGAAGAGTTCTTGGTTTTGCCCAGGAAAGAATCCAAGGGTGAGCCAGAGGTATTAAACAGCAGCTTGTACGGCAGCGGCCATGTAGAGGAGCAGCAGAGGTACTGCTCCTGGCGGAGCGCGGCTGCCCTGCAGGCAGTGTGCCCAGAGTAGCAGCTCAGGGGCAGTTCTCTGCTCAGACTTAGCCCCACTTTTAATTACATGCAAATTATGGGGTGGTTATTCAGAATTTATTAGAAAAAGGGTGGTACTTCTGGGTTGTTGCCATGGAAAGGGGTCGCAACTTCCAAGTGTTACTATGGCAGTGCCAAACTGACCTGGCATTGGTAGGCACGTCTTAGAGAGGTGCTTTCACCTCTTCCCTGTTTCAGCTAGTCTTTTTTTTCCCCCCAGCCTAGACTTTTTTCTTTTAATAGCAGTTTAAAGTTTACAGAAAAACTAAGCGGAAAGAAGCCGGGTGCGGTGGCTCACGCCTGTAATCCCAGCACTTTGGGAGGCCGAGGCAGGCAGATCACCAGGTCAAGAGATTGAGACCATCCTGGCCAACATGGTGAAACCCCTGTCTCTACTAAAAATACAAAAATTAGCTGGGTGTAGTGGCGCATGCCTGTAGTCCCAGCTACTCAGGAGGCTGAGGCAGGAGAATCGCTTGAACCCGGGAATCAGAGGTTGCAGTGAGGTGAGATTGCACCACTGCACTCCAGCCTGGGCAACAGAGTGAGATTCCATCTCAAAAAAAAAAAAAAAAAAGAAAGTATAGAGTTCTCATCTACTCTTCCCTTCTCCCCATTTTCCTAAACATTAGCATCTTGCATTAGAGTGGTACCTTTGTTATAACTGATGATCTAATATTGATACACTATTATTAGCTAAAGTCCACAGTTCACAGTAGGGCACACGCTTCATGTTGTATAGGCTATATATAGGTTTTGCCAAATGTATGATGACACGTATCTACCATTACAGTATAATATGGAAGAGTTCCATATACATGTCCTCATACACTGTATCATATGGTCCTAAAACCCCCTATGCTCCATCTATTTGTCCCTGCCCTCCTGCTCCCACCCCCCTGGCAACCACTGATCTTAGGTTCACTGTCTCTGTAGTTTTGCTTTCTCAGAATGTCATATAGTTGGGGTCATACAATATGTAGCCTTTTCAGATTCATATCAATGAACTTTTCATACTAGGTTTCATCAGAATCCATTGGCTTTAGGAGGTCCCTGAGGTCAAAATATTGCAGGGACTCCTGGGGGTTTACAAAGCACATTTTGAGAACCACCGGTCCAGAGTAATAATCATAGATAAAACAGTTATAAAGGCATTCTATGTGCCAGGCACTTTGTGTTCCTTCAAGTAATATTCAAAAGTAACCATAAGTGGTAATTAGAATTATTGTCTGCAGCAAGTAAGGTAATTTGTCGCAGTCCTTATACCAAGTAGGAAGGAAGAGGCCAGGTTCAGCCTCCAACAGCTGGGATGAGAGCTGAGCTCTAACCACTCCTTCCTGTCACATTCAGGCAGGGTGGCTGGAACCAGGCCCCCGCCTCTGCATCTACTTCTTCCTCTGAGCATGTAATGACTGGATCATTTCAGTGATCTCTTTTCTGATTGCAAGGAGCTGCCACTCAACTGATTTCTAGATTCCTGAATTTCACTGCCCTGAATTTTTTTTTTTCCAAGACAGTTGTGCTCTTGTCCCCCAGGTTGGAGTGCAGTAGCGTGATCTCAGCTCACTGCAACCTCCACTTCCCAGGTTCAAGCGATTCTCCTGCCTCAGCCTGAGTAGCTGGGATTACAGGCAAGCACCACCACACCAGGCTAATTTTTGTGTTTTTAGTAGAGACAGGATTTCACCATGTTGGCCAGGCTGGTCTCAAACTCCTGACCTCAAGTGATCTGCCCACCTCAGCCTCCCGAAGGACTACAGGCATGAGCCACTGTGCCCGGCTGAAAAATTTATATTATATATATATACACATATAGTCTTTGAATTTTAATGTCAAAATTCAGGCTCTCAATTTTATGAAAATTTTATTTTTTTAAACAGACTCAAAGCTTACAAAGGCTCCCAATTTAATTTTTGCTAAGTTAGGTCTTTAAAACAAATGTTTCGCTGCAAACAAACCTGTAAGACACTGCAATTCCAAAAAGAGATGGAAGATTTGATCTCAAAATAAAGGACAACCCAAGAAGACACCATTGGCAGCTTGCCTCCATGTCCTCAAGGTCCTTTCTCTTCCACATCTGTGATTCCTACCCCATCCTTTTGGTTAGGGAAGTGTGAGGGGCAGCCAGATCTCAGGATTTCTCAACAAATGCAGGGCCGGGACTCTAAGGTTCAGGTCCCCCTCTCCTAACACTCTCCTTAACACGGAGGCTCCATGGCAGGTGGCATTGTACCCCTTGGATGCACCAGAGAGATCCTTGCTGGCTGACCAGGAAGACAGTCTGCCCAAGCTCTGTGATGCCTGGGGGCTGCGTGGCGACATCAGCAGCGTGAAGGAGCGGCTGTCCAAGATGCAGGCCCCAGCTCAAGGGAGTTCCCTGCCTGGGGAGCAGACATCCCAGGACCATGTCGAGAGAGGTAATGCCCATTTGCTGTTGGGGTGATGCCAGGGCCCACGGATTTGTGAGTGGTGTCTGGGTGTTTCCCAAGAGTAGACTCAAGCAGCCAGGAGCCTCTGCCTGGAGCCTGACAAGTTCCTCTTCCCTCCTTTCTATCTTCACCCTGCCTTTTCCTTCCGGTCCATCTTTTCTTCTCCTTCTCCACTTTCTCTTTTCTTTTTAGTTCTCCTCTTCACCAGGTGTGCTCATTATAGAAAGGTTTTTATTTTATTTTATTTTATTTATTTACTTGAGATGAAGTCTCGCTCTGTCGCCAGGGCTGGAGTACAGTGGTGAAATCTCGGCTCACTGCAACCTCTGACTCCTGGGTTCAAGCGATTCTCCTGCCTCAGACTCCTGAGTAGCTGGGATTACAGGTGCCTGCCACCTCGCCCAGCTAATTTTTGTATTTTTAGTAGAGACGGGGTTTCACTGTGTTGCCCAGGCTGGTCTTAACTCCTAAGCTCAGGCAATCCACACACCTCAGCCTCCCAAACTGCTGGGATTACCAGGTGTGAGGCACTGCACCTGGCCTTTATTTTATTATTATTTTTTAGGTTTGGCTTGTTTGTTTGTTTGAGATGAAGTCTCACTGTCACCCAGGCTGGAGTGCAGTAGCTCGATCTTGGCTCACTGCAACCTCCGCCTTCCAGGTTCAAGTGAGTACTGGGTACTGCCTCAGCCTCCCAAGTAGCTGGTATTACAGGTGTGTACCACCATGCCCAGCTTTTGTACTTTTAGTAGTGGGTGGGGGGTCTTGCCATGTTGGCCCAAACTCCTGACCTCAAGTGATCTGCCCACCTTGGCCTCCCGAAGTGCTGGGATTACAGATGTGAGCCACTAAGTCCGGCCGGTCCTGTTTAAATTGAGGATGTAAACATACAAGAGAATGAAGACCAATCCACAACTAAGATGCTCTGGGCCAAGCAGTTCATGACTCAGATGAGGAATGTGAGCTCTGGGCTTCTGGAATGGTTTCTCTTTGTACCAGGGACTTTGTATCTATTAATTTCACTCAACCCCTTTATCATCCTGATGAGATAGGTGGTATTACCTCCCTTTTACAAACAGCTGTCTGAGGCCACAGGGCAAAGGATGTATCAACCAAGACAAGCTGCCTGGAGGGGGTAAATTTGGGACAGGCTTTAAAGAAAAGGATAAGGATGTGGATGAAGGAAAGGAGGGAAGTGGAAAGAAAGTGCAGAGGTGAAGGGCAGCCAGTAGATGACCTGGGTTTGGTGGTGAATGGAAGAGCAGGTTGGAGAGATGCAAGGAGGGAAGTAACAGGAGAAAGCCTTGGACGATGGGTTTTCATGCACTTATTAAAATTAATAACGTTTTTATTAGTATAAATATAAACAGAAAATTTGATTATACAGATAAGCAAAAATAAGGAAATATAAACATCACATTGTCATCATCACTATTAAATTTCCAAATCTTTTAAATGTGTGTGTGTATATATATATGTATGTATGTATATACATATATATATATATATATATTTTTTTTTTTTTTTTTTTTTGAGACAGAGTCTCGCTGTGTCTCCAGGCTGGAGTGCAGTAGTGTGATCTGGGCTCACTGCAACCTCCACCTCCCAGGTTCAAGCGATTCTTCTGCCTCAGCCACCCCAGTAGCTAGGACTACAGGCTCACACCACCATGCCCAGGTAATTTTTGTATTTTTAGTAGAGACAGGGGTTTCACCATGTTGGCCAGGATAGCCTTGACCTCGTGATCCACCTGCCTTGGCCTCCCAAAGTGCTGGGATTACAAGCATGAGCCATTGCGCCCAGTCATAAATATATATATATATATATATATATATTTTATTTTCTATTGAGATGGAGTTTTGCTCTTGTTGCCCAGACAGGAGTGTAAGGGCATGATCTTGGCTCGCAGAACCTCCGCCTCCCAGGTTCAGGCAATTTTCCTGCCTCAGCCTCTCAAGTAGCTAGGATTACAGGCACCTGCCACCATGCCTGGCTAATTTTGTACTTCTAGTAGAGACGGGTTTCGCCATGTTGGTCAGGCTGGTCTCAAACTCATGACCTCAAGTGAGCCGCCCATCTTGGTCTCCCAAAGTGCTGTGATTACAGGCTTGAGCCACCACTCCTGGCCTAAATATATATATTTTAAATAAAATGAGATCATGCTGTACATGAGATTTTGATTTGGAGTTGCTTTTTTTTTTGAAATGGAGTTTCACTCTTGTTGCCAGGTTGGAGTGCAATGGCACAATCTCAGCTCACTGCAACCTCTGCCTCCTGGGTTCAAGTGATTCTCCTGTCTCAGTCTCCTGAGTAGCTAGGATTGGGGCACATGCTACCATGCCTGGCTAAGTTTTGTATTTTTAGTAGAGACAAGGTTTCATCATATTGGTCAGGCTGGTCTCGAACTCCTGACCTCAGGTAATCCATCTGCCTCGGCCTCCCAGAATGCTGGGGTTACAAAGCCACAGTGCCCCGCCTGGAGTTGCTTAGAGTTAATGGTATCAACCTTTCTTTTTTCTTTTTCTTTTTTTTTGAGATGGGTTTTTCAGTCCTGGCACCTACGCTGGAGTGCAGTGGCTTGATCTCAGCTCACTGCAACCTCCACCTGCTGGTTCAAGCGATTCACTTGCCTCAGGCTCCCAAGTAACTGGGACTACAGATGCACACCACCGTGCCTGGGTAATTTTTTTTATTTTTTGTAGAGACGGAGTTTTGCCATGTTGCCCAGCCTGCTCTCGGACACCTGGGTTCAAGAGATCCACCCGCCTCTGCCTCTCAAAGTGCAGGGATTACAGGCATGAGCCACCATGCCTTGTCCCAGATCAGCATTTCCACATCAATATTTTCATTTCGTCTAATAGGCGGACCAAATACTTTGTATTCAAATTTTCCCAACAGCCAAAGATAACTTTTGCACTGGCTTCTCAAACTATGCATTTCACCTGGTCAAGTCTCTTAAATCTTTAAACCTAAGCTAAGAAAGTTCTTTTTTTTCCATCCCTGACCTGCTGAAAAGATGAGGCCATTATCCAGCAGTTCTCCTTCCTGATTTATTCCCTGTTGCTTCTTTTGACATCTTTTAGCTTTTTCCTCTATAAACAGGACTTGAAAGTCTTCATGGGTTCATGTTTTTGGCTAGGCTACATAAGAGATGAGGTTATGTTCTTCCCATTATTACCTGACAAAGCACAAAAGATCTCATTGACCCACAGGAATGGGCTAAGATGAGTCACCAAGTCCGTCCTTGTAATGAAAATAAATACGTGGTGTTTCTTTGGCACTATGTTCATAAAGTCAGTTATTTAATTATTTATTTTTATTTATTTTTTTGAGACAGAGTCTCACTCTGTGGCCCAGGCTGGAGTGCAGTGCTGCGATCTCAGCTCACTGCAACCTTGGCCTCCCTGGTTCAAGCGATTCTGCTGCCTCAGCCTCCCAAGTAGCTGAGATTACAGGCGTGTGCCAACACGCCTGGCTAGTTTTTGTATTTTTAGTAGAGATGGGGTTTCACCATGTTGGCCAGGTGGGTCTTGAACTCCTGACCTCAAGTGATCCACCTACCTCAGCTTCCCAAAGTGCTGGAATTACAGGCATGAGCCACTGTGCCTGACCATAAAGTTAATTTTTTTTTTTTGGAACGGAGTTTCGCTCTTGTTACCCAGGCTGGAGTGCAGTGGCGCGATCTCGGCTCACCGCAACCTCCGCCTCTTGGGCTGAGGCAATTCTCCTGTCTCAGCCTCCTGAGTAGCTGGGATTACAGGCACGCGCCACCATGCCCGGCTAATTTTTTGTATTTTTAGTAGAGACGGGGTTTCACCGTGTTGACCAGGATGGTCTCAATCTCTTGACCTCGTGATCCACCCGCCTCGGCCTCCCAAAGTGCTGGGATTACAGGCTTGAGCCACCACGCCCGGCCCAAAGTTAATTTTTAATTAAAACTTGGCAGTGGGGTTTGTAAACAGTATTGGGAATTGGGTCATGAGGCCTGAGACAGGAGTAAGGAAGAATCAGAGACTGGACCCAGAGGTCAAGGAAACTTGGGTTTTGCCCTGACTCTTCCCCTAACTTTCTGTAAGATCTGGGCAGGTTGTTGTTTTACACTATACCTAAACTGGGGACAATGCCATCTCTCTACAGGGTTTCTGTGAGAAAAGACCAAGTGATATATAGGTTGGAAATAATATAAGATTTTGCTATTCTTCCTCTCTGCCCCTACCACACCCCCCATATATTACAGACTGAAATACCTACTATTTGTGATGTCATTGGGACTGTCTCTGACCTTCCATTTTTCAGATTCTTTAAGGAAACTTTCTCAAACATCAAAACTCAAGAGAAGGAGGATGACGGAAGTCCCAGAAACTCCAGAGACTAACCCATAAGAAGATCTGCTGGGACAAAAGGCCAGTTCACCCTGGCTCTCAGAGCATGGGGAATGGGGACCAAAAAGGGGAAAGAAGAAAATTATCCTTATCAAAAGGATGCTCAGGTCTTAATTAGAAATCAATGAGGTGGGAAATAAACATTCTTATGACAGTTCTACTTTACTTGACTAACAGTCATTATTTTTAATTTGTTTAAAAAATACTTGCCAGCCACCTTCTAAGCGGCAGGTGCCCACATAAGCATAGATGAAGAAGATATGGTCACTTATGTCAAGGACCACCACAGTCGAGTGGGGCAGACACAGAAAAGACATGACGGCAGGGTAAATACAGGTGACTGGGGCAGGCCTCAGAGGAGGTAACAAAGCAGCTGGGTGTTTGCCAGGGGAGCACACAGGTGGGGAGGGAGGGAGCCTGGGGTCAGAGAATGGCAAGCCTGGCAGCCTACCTGCAACGTCTGGGCTTCATTCTGTCGGTAGCTTGGGATGGGTAGTAGCAAAGGAGGTATCGAGCGGTGGAATAAATGGGTTGATGAGGGCATTGGGGAGATGCTGTGGTCACTGTGAGCAAGGTGCATGGAAGACAGCGAGGCTAGAGGCAGGAGACCAAAGAGGAAACAACACCGACTGTCTTAGCTAACATGGTGGCTCGAGCCAGCAGTCACAAATCCGCAACCTGTGCACTAAAGTAAGGCCACCAATGTGTTTTGTTTGTCCCTGGTCATGTTCTACTTGTTTAAACATTTTAAGGCCAGGCATGGTGGCTGATGCCTGTAATCCCGGCACTTTGGGAGGCTGAGGTGGGAGGATCCTTTGAATGCAGGAGTTTCAGACTGGCCAGGGCGACATGGCAAAACCCCATCTCTACAAAAAAATTAGCTGGTCACAGTGGCACACATCTGTAGTTCCAGCTACTCAGGATGCTGAGGTGGGAGAATCACTTGAAGCCATGTGTTAGTCTTTTCTCACACTGCTGATACATACCCCAGACTGGGTAATTTATAAAGGAAAGAGGTTTAATTGACTCACAGTTCCACGTGGCTGGGGAGGCCTCATAATCTTGGCAGAAGGCAAATGAGGGCAAAGTCACATCTTACATGGCAACAGGCAAGACAACGTGTGGAGGGGAACTCCCCTTTGTAAAACCAACCAATCTCATGAGACTTATTCACTACCATGAAAATGGCACAGAAAAAAACCTACCCCTATTGATTCAGTTACCGCCCACTGGGTCCCTCCTACAGCATGTGGGGATTATTACAATTAGAGGTGAGATTTGGGTGGGGACACAGAACCAGACTATATCATTTGGCCCCAGCCCTTTCCAAATCTCATGTCTTCACATTTCAAAACCAATCATGCCTTCACAATAGTTCCCCAAAGTCTTAACTCATTTCAGCATTAACCCAAAAGTCCAAGTCCAAAGTCTCATCTGAGACAAGGCAAGTCTCTTTCACCTATGAACCTGTAAAATCAAAAGCAAGTTAGTTACTTCCTAGATACAATGGGGTGCAGGCATTGGGTAAATAAACCCATTCCCAGTGGGAGAAACTGGGCAAAATGAAGAGGCTACACGCCCCATGCAAGTCTGAAATCCTATAGGACAGTCAAATATTAAAGTTCCAAAATGATCTCCTTTGACTCTACGTCTCACATCCGGGTTATGCTGATGTAACAGGTAGGTTCCCATGGTCTTAGGCAGCTCTGGCCCTGTGGCTTTGCAGGATACAGCCTCACTCTTGGCTGCTTTCACAGGCATTGAATTTATGCAGCTTTTCTAGGTGCACAGTGAGCTGTTGGTGGATCTACCATTCTGGGGTCTGGAGGGCAGTGGCCCTCTTCTGACAGCTCCACTTGGCAGTGCCCCAGTGGGAATTCTGTGTGGAGTCTCCCATCCTACATTTCCCCTCCACACTGCCCTAGCAGAGGTTCCCCATGAAGGCTCCACCCCTGCTGCACACCTCTGCCTGGACATTCAAGCATTTCCATACATCCTCTGAAATCTAAGTGGAAGTTTCCAAACCTCAACTCTTGACTTCTGGTACCTACAGGCTTAACACCATGTGGAAGCCGCCAAGGCCTGGGGCTTGTACCTTCTGAAGCTATGGCCCAAGCTGTACCCTTTAGCCACACTGGAGCAACTGGGATGCAGGGCATCAAATCCTGAGGCTGCACACAGCAGGGGAGCCCCAGACCTGTCTCAGGAAAACATGTTTTTCTCCTAGACCTCTGGGCCTGAGAAGGGAGGGCTTCCAAGAAGGTCTCTGACATGCCCTGGAGACATTTTCCCCATTGTCTTGGGGGTTAGCATTTGGCTCCTCCTTACTTATGCCAATTTCTGCTGCCAGCTTGAATTTCTCCCCAGAAAATGAGTTTTTCTTTTCTATCACACAATCAGGCTTCAAATTTTGTGAACTTTTATGCTCTGCTTCCCTTTTACATGTAAGTTCTAATTCCAAACCATATTGTTGTGAATACATTAAAACTGAATGCTTTTAACAGCACCCAAATTACCTTCTGAATGCTTTACAGCTTAGAAATTTCTTCTGCCAGATGCCCTAAATCATCTCTCTCAAGTTCAAAGTTCCACAAATCTCTAGGGCAGGGGCATTTGCCGCAGGGGAAAATGTCTCTTTGCTGAAGCATAACAAGAGTCACCTTGCTCCAGTTCCCAACAAGTTGCTCATCTCCATCTGAGACTACCTCAATCTGGACTTCATTTTCCATACCACTATCAGCATTTTGGTCAAAGTCATTCAAAAGTATCTAGGAAGTTCTAAACTCTCTCACATTTTTCTATCTTCTTCTGAGCCCTCCAAACTGTTCCAACCTCTGTCTGTTACCCAGTTCCAATGTCGCTTCCACATTTTCAGCAGCACCCCACTACCCAATACCAATTTACTCTATTAGTCTGCTCTCATGCTGCTAATAAAGATATACCAGAGACTGGGTAATTTATAAAGGAAAGAGATTTAATTGACTCACAGTTCCACATGGCTGGGGAGGCCTCACAATCATGCCAAAGGTGAATGAGGAGTAAAGAAAGTCATGTCTTTCATGGCAGTAGGCAAGAGAGTATATGCAGGGGAACTCCCCTTTATAAAACCATCAGATTTCATGAGACTTATTCACTATCACGAGAACAGCATAGAAAAAACCCACCCCCATGATTCAATTACTTCCCACTGCGTCCCTCCCACAACATGTGGGGATTATTACAATTAGAGGTGAGATTTGGCTAGGGATATGAAGTTAAACCATGTCAACTTGGTGGGGGTAGAGGTTGCAGTGAGCCGAGATTTCACCACTGCACTCCAGCCTGGGCAACAGAGCAAGACTCTGTCTCAATTAAAAAAAAGAAAGGAAGGAAAGAAGGAAAGAAAGAAGGAAGGAAAGACAGAAAGAAAAAAGAAAGAAAGAAAGAAAGAAGAAAGAAAGAGAAAGAAAGAAAGAGAAACATTTAAAAAATTAGTTGCCAATATTAGAACTTGGTATATCTCACATTAAAAATAACAGATTTCTGGTTTCTTGTAAAAACTGCCCACACTTGGACCTGCATTTGCACATGACGACGGGCTTGGGCTGAGAAGGAGCTGTGTAGGCTTCACAGATATGCTTTCCCATTCACCGCAGTTCGCACCCCTCCCTGTTGCCTTCCACATTGTCCCTCTTCACTCATTTAGATCCCCTTTGTGACCCTTGTAGCCTCTGTAACCTGCTACCCCTGGAGTACAAAAAGGCAATGGAAAGTGTGCAGAAAAGGGAGAATAGTAATGTATGAGATTATAGAAAATGGGCAGTTTCTGGTGACAGATGCGGGAGATAAGAAAGGGAGGAGGGAGGGGAGGGAAGATGGTGCATTGTTTCCAGCTAGAAAGACCAGGTAGATGATAGTCATTTCTAGGAGGGTCCAATCATTTCCCCAAAACACAAATGACATGCTTGCCAGGGCTCTGCCTAAGGCAGCAGCATAGAGGGCGCAGGGCTGGCCTGGAGCAGGAGACGCCAGGGCAGATCTGTGTGATCCTTCTCCCTCCCTCCCTCAGTTTGTGTTCAGAAGTATCGTCATAGACTTACAATGCTAAAATGAGTGTCAAACTAGTCTCGAAGAACAAGTTCAGGGAAGCATGAAGGGGGGAAGTGGGGAGGAAGCACCATTTCCTTCTTCCTTATAATCATCACCTCTAGAAGTGGCAAGAGAAGGCACAGGCCCGGGGCCAGCCTGGCTTGCCTAGACCCTGATAGTTTTGTCAAAGCAGGGAGGATTTCAGAGAGAAGGAAGCCAGGCTGGAGGATGTCCATGGTGACTATGGGCTCTCCAATGTTTTCTACTCCTGAGAGATTTCACTGACAAGTGAAATGTGGCCGTTTTGGGAACAGTCCAAAACACCAAGTGTCCCCAGTAGGCCAGGCAGCACTGCCACCTAGAGAAATTATGGGACACGACAGCCTTGTTCTTTCAACTAGCGTGTGCAAACCCACCAGCGTGGGCAGAAGATGAAGAGAAGGGGGCCAGGGGTGCGATTACCAACCATGAGAACAATCGGAACGCCTAAAGGTGAAAATGGGCAACAAGTGAGGCTTGGTTTTGAAGCTTTCTTTTTTTTTTTTTTTTTTTTTTTTTTTAACCTTAGACAGAGTCTTGCTCTGTCACCCAGGCTGGAGTGCAAAGGTCCAGTCTCAGCTCACTGCAACCTCTGCCTTCCGGGATCAAGTGATTCTACTGCCTCAGCCTCCCAAGGAGCTGGACTTACAGGTGTGCGCCACCACACCCGGATAATTTTTCTATTTTTAGTAGAGACAGGGTTTCACCATGTTGTCCAGGCTGGTCTCAAACTCCGCCCACCTCGGCCTCCCAAAGTGCTGGGATTACAGGCATGAGTCACCACACCCGGTCATTTTTTTTTTTTTTTTTTTAAGAGATGAGGTCTCACTCTGTTGCCCAGGCTGGAGTGCAGTGGCATGATTACAGCTCGCTGCAGCCTCAAACTCCTAGTCTCAAGCGATTCTCCTATCTCCGCCTTCCAAATAACTGAGATTCCAAGCATGACCCAACGCACCTCATGACTTTTCCTACTTTTAAATGGAAAAGTCTCCTAACGGCGAATGTAGTGCCTGACTACTGCCTGACCCACTCCCACCCCAGTTTCTCAGGAGTCAAGC